TCAAGCCAGATAGGAAAACAGGACAGATGGCACAGGACCTAACACCCATAATGGCAGGGACTGCGCTCTGGGGCATGCCGCTTGACTCTTCGCAGGTGCAGCCTGGTGGTGGACAGCTCAGGAAAAACAAGTGGCCATAGCATCCTTTCTCTGGCTGTGAGATCACTTCATTTTTGTTTTTATACATGGGGCAGCTGCTTCCTAGGTCTGGAAGGGGCTCAGAGCACATCCTACATGTTGAGTCCGCATTCCAAGGAGACCAGGCTTTACTGAGGATGTGTCTGGTAAAGAAAAACACCTTCAGTCTATTGATCTAAGACTTAGATAGGTGGAGAGAACCCACAGATTCAAGCTGGTATCTCAAAAAAAAAAAGTGGTTTCTGGAGGCGTTCTTTTCATGTTTACTAGTTAGGAGAGAGAACTGTGATGACCTTGACACCCTAAAAATGTGCTGTGAGATCTTTTGCATGGACAAGACTCCAATGAGGAAAGAAATGGAAACAAACAAACAAAAGCCTTTGAAAGTAGAACAACATTCGGTTTTTATCCTCCATGCACAAGAACTCCACCCCACTTTGGATTCAATTTAGCCCTCTTCACATCTTACTAATGAGAGTTTAAAGATAAAAGTTGCTGTGAGCCTGCTGAGTGGTTTTTGCAGGTGGGGGCCTGGAACCATCTGCCATTTATAGAAAGTAGTATGATTGCAGTGTCCCAAGAACTAAAGGCAAAACTCATGAAATATGCCCTTAAATTTCTGTTACCCTTATTTTTCCCAGGAATGGTGTCAATCATTATATATACCAATATACAGCAGGCATTGCACATTGTTTGTTCAAAAAGGGGACGGTAATTGGCTCTGCCCTACATCTTTAATGATGCCTGCAGGTGTCTCTGGGGTGGGTTGGTTCTAATTCTCTTCACCCATATTTGACTTGACCCACATCTACACATCCGTTCAGCACTGCAGAACCTAGGACAAAGCCAGCCATTTATATGGTTGCTGTCTTCCCTAATGTCATTCTTAGGCCCAGAATTTGTCTACAAACAAACTCAATGAACAAGGAGCAGATAAGGCCAGTCAGAAAGTGCTGACATCTCTTTGCTGGTGGCCATCCCACTGTCTACAGAGATGAACGGACCCTATTGAAGCTGTACTTCTGAGACTTTTCAGTCTGGGGCTCTTGGCCACTCATTTTCATGATCCATTCAGAATTATCTTTTATTTAGTTCCCCTATCAGGGAAGCAGGGTCTTTCGGTATCATAGGTGGTCATGTCCCCATCACATGCTGTCTGGATGTTGGTCTTCTCTTTGTCATTTTTTATTTGTTGGATACCAGAGATAAATTGTATAGGCTCTAAAGTTTTCTACTTCTCCATATTAATATCTTATCCTCCTCTGTCTTTAATTGATTCATTTATTTATTCAATCACTATATTACAAGAGATTGTACCTAGGGCCATATGCATCACGTGTATGCTAAACATTGAGCTATTACCCCCAACCCTCTCCATACTTTTTGATATGTTTGCATATGTGTATGTGTGTATGTATGTATGTATGATACAGTGTGATTTGATTGTTTTCCTCTCTTGTTATAACTATGCCCTTTAGAAGAAGAATTAGAGGGTGGTGTGACCAAACAAAATTGTCAAATAAGAATCCAGCATTCAAGTTATTAATTAATAGTACTCCTGAGTGTTCATTCAATTTTTTTTTGGCCACAAGTGAATTCAGGTGGTGTTCTAATTAGCCTAGAATCTTCTATTAAAAGTGCTCCATTGAGTAATTGTCCCTATCAGGTGGGGAATGTCTTGATTATTAACTGGTGAGGAGGGCCCAGCCCACTGGGGGTGGTAGCAAACCTAGAGAGCTGGACTTAGCCATATAAGAAACTAGCCGTGCGTGGGCTTGTAAGTTAGAAAGCCATCCGGAAAGTAGCACTGTTACTTGATTCCTGACTATAAGTTTCTACCTGGAGTTCCTGCCCTGGCTTCCCTTAATGATGAGTTGTGACCCGGAAGAGTAGAACCTAACCCCTTTCCTCCCCCAGCTCCTTTTGATCAGAGTGTTTCATCAGGAGGCGACTCAGAGTCTCTGGAATTTCAGATGCGGGAGGAGAAGCGGACCTGGCACAGCTAGTCGGTGTGAGGTACAGCCCAAGTGCTATGGGAGTACAGACTCCCGGTGACTCACTCTCTCAAAGAAGCACGCAAGAATTCACACCAAAGACAGCATTTGCTCTAGGGTAGGCAAGGTAAAAAGGAGAAGGGGGAACCACTATGTGGTCAGAACGGAGTGTAAAGATCATGATGCATGCTGAAGCAGATGTGTTCAGGGAAGTATTAAAATTCCAAGTAGACGGAAAGTCAGGAGACAGGAGAAAAGTAGGGGCAGAGGCAGAGGTGGGCTGAGCCCAGACAAATATTCTCATAGTTTCCTATAATAGTGGATGAGCCTAGAGAAGAGAAGTAGGGCCACGGTGTCTTTGGGAATAAAGCAGATAGCGCCACGAGAGACGCATTAGAGTGGGAAAAAGCCCCCTCCCTGGCCTTCTCCACACGGGCAGGGCAATAATGCTGCTAATGTTGCCACTGAAACTCACCAAGGGGTTGGACCCCGAGAAGTCATTAGGAAGTTATGTCTGGTGTTAGGGGGCATAGCATTTCAGTCTCCTCATTGAGAAAGAATACACACACACACACACACACACACACACACACACACACACTATGGTTAGGATGAGCCTATTAAATTACTATTTCTTCCGTGTGTGTTTACTTCAAATGAGCATCCCCAAAGGGAAGGGTAAATCCCCAAGCGATAGAGAACTGGGAGAGCAGATAGGACCTTTACTGATGGAATAGGGCTGCCCCAGAAGCATGTTTCTCCGCCCTTGGGTCTCTTCCATTTGAACTCTCAGGGCAGTAATTGTGCTTCAGGTGCAAGTACGTGCTTGGAAATTGCCTACCGGTCATTACAGGGCATCCCAGGACGACCCAAGCATAACACAGCAATTTAGCAAGACTCCTTTTTCAATCTAGGCAAAAACGATTTCTGAGTTAACTTTGCAGGGGAGAGAAAACAGGCTTTGTGGGATTTTGTGTTTTGTTGTACGCACACAGCTTTCCCATGCTGGTCAATGCAGATGGCAGAATTGGGATGCTGCTACCAAGCTGCTGAAACAGTTTGCCTACCCAGATGGGCCCTGAGTTCACAGACAATCACATCTGGTCTGCTTCCCGGCAGTCATCTACAGATCTTATGTCTGGCTTCATGCAGACACGGAAGGGGAGACATGAGCCGATTAATAACACTTGACTCTACACGTTGGCCGTCTCAGGCTGATGATGACATATACTCTCGTGGATTGTACTCAGTTAACTGGAGGCTTCCTCCACTCAGCTCCAGTTTGTACATCTCAAAGTTTGGAACAAGATCCAGAACTTGGTTTGAAATTTCTGTTTCTATAATCTTTTGAATTCCTGATACACTGAACCCCCGAACATCACTGGGATGTTTGCTTGGGTGTCAAGGAGAAAAATTCTAATTAAGTTAATTTTTAAATAAGATCAAATATAGGATAAAGGAGAGGCTCAAAGGACCAGGGTGCTTACAGAGGTCACATGGCTGCCTTATAGAGAAAACCCACCGTCATCCCACGCCTCATTGAGTCCCACATTCCACCAGTTTCCCATGTCCTGAGGCCTCCACACAGAGCAAAGCTTTTGCTTCTCCCTGTGGATGGTACTCTTATGGGTGACCAGGATGCTGGACTGGACGTCTGCCCTCATGCTGACTCTCCATGGGCCTCAATGAAATGCCTTGTTTCACCCCATCGAGCCTGGATAGAAATGCACAGGCCGATAAACCTAGCTGCTCGACTCTAGCCTCTGACAGTCGCGCGACAAGCTTTTCTTGATGGGGAAGAAAAAATTCACTCAAATCCAGCACTAAGACACATGAACTTTAGACTGGTAAAATCCCCACTTTAAAGCTAACGAAGGGCTTTGGAATGGCAATATTCTTTAATAATTTTTAGTACTTGCAATGAAGTACAAGGTCAGCAAATTCAGTCAGAAGAAGGTGTCAGAATCCCCTGGACCTGGAGTTATGAATGTTTCTGAGCAGTCATGTGGGTGCTGGGAATCTAACCTGGGTCTTCTGGAAGAATAGCCTGTGTTCTTAGTAACTAAGCCATCTCTCTAGGTCCTCTCTGACTTTTAGCTTGATCTTATACTGAACTAAGGCACTAAATTTAGATGAACTATGAGATTCTTTAAAAATATTGGGCAATTTTATATTTATTTAATTGATAGTTGTATGTAAGTTGGCTAAGTGGAAACCTTCTCCATTATATATTGCCTTTTATTTTAATAGCTAAATGGGAATTCTGCATCCCTATGTAAAATCAGCAGAGACACACAATGTCTATGTGCCCTCACATGCCTGGCCTTTGAAAACTGCTAGATGCACTTTCTTGGTGTAATGCCCACAACCCCTGATGGTGTCCCGCTGCACTTGCCAGACTCCCTTGTGCAAATATTTACACTAGAACTTTTAAACATCTACAAACATTTATTTATCTCTCCCAAATAGCATCAGAGTGCTCAGAGTGATCTTTGATGATAACTATGGGCGCTCAGGTTGTCTCCGAGACCTAACTCTGCTCTCAGTCTCCTGGGCTAAGCACAGCTGCAATAGATAATGTGATGGAGCCCTGCTAAGGGCTGCTGCATTACACGGTGATCTTGAATATGCTAAAAAAAATAAAAAATGGTCTTCCATTTTAATTCTTCTTCTACCTCAAGGGACACACTAGCAATGAAATTCTCAATTCTGGTGACACAAAAAGTTTCAAAAGAGAAATGGAAGCTCAAAGAAGTCATGGACAACTTCAGAGTTGTTTAGATGTTTCTAAATAGCTCAGGGAGATGGGAAGGAGGGAAGGAAGGAATGAAGGAGAGGGGGCGGGAGGGAGAGAGAGGCCAAACTTACTTCATCCACATGTCCAACTGCGCCATAGATCCTTGCTATTTGTCCAGCGAGGTAGGGAAATCTCTCTCCAATCTCTTTCAGCATTGGTAGAAAACTGCTCAGAGCCAGTGGTTCATAGCCTGCTATTTCTATGAGGATGTTTAGGATGAAGTCATTGTGGGTTGAATCCTTCAAATGCCTGGTGAGGAAAGGAACGCATTTCTGAACCATCTGCAAGGGGAGAGGAAAGGAAGAAAGGAGAAAGAAAAGACAAAGATAAGAGTTAGTCTACGCAGAATCACTTTCAAAAGAAAATTTTGTGTTAACAGTCTTATACGTAATGTAGTCTGCAGTCATCTTAAAACATTCCTCCTGCCTCAGCTTCCTGAGAGCTGGGATTATAGGCATAAGGATGGCAACATTTAAAATATTAAACCGGAGAGACAACACATCCTGGGATTATTAATCTCGTGGCAAATCTCCAGACTTTGGAATCTAAAATGGACAATAAAACCACCCGCCCCTGAGTCTGCTTTTCTTTGAAGTTATGTTCTGCTATGGAAAGTGAACTCCACAAAGTTCTCCTGTCGCTGATGCCCATGCCAAGCTTTGCTGTGTTACAGGACTAGTGCATCCCTCTTCCCCAACCCCCGGAGCTGCAGCAGAAAGATGGCCAGTGAGGAAGAGACCTTTGTTGATTTTTACTAAAGCCTCTGGTTTAGGAGAATCCCACTTAGAAATGCTTCATAGTGGAAACAAAGAAGCAAGAAGGTTCCTCACTGTTCCCAATCTCCAGTTCTACCAGGGAATGTCATCATAAGGTATAATCATTAAGGAAAAATGATTTCCCCTGCATTCCCATTGCTTTATGAAGACAAGAATTCAAAACTTTTCATTAGAAAGTATGACTTTCTGTGAAATAAAGTCACTAGTACACACAGATATGGGAGGGGATGCATATACAGAATTTGAAAAGGGACAAACCAAAGTAGTCTTGAGATAACTAAAAATCACCCTACATAGAGATCGAAACTTCATAGTCATTTACGTACTTTGGGAGGAGAGCCTGGCTAGCTCCTGGCAAGTCACACACCTGCAGTTCTAGAAATGCTGCCTGTGCGTTTGTGCATTGGGGAAGGACTGCAGGTCCTTCATGTAACGCCGTGAGAGGTCCCTGGCATATCCAGCAAAAATGTCAGCCAGCTGCTTGGGTCAGGGCAACGTACCTCACCTGAGGTATATGGAAATAGGAAATGCTCACACATTTCCTGGCCCTTGCAGAAAATTCCATTTTCTAGCCCTTGCTCTTGAGTGTGGATTGCGTTGGGTGGGCTACTCAGTCTAGGGGTTAGTAACCCACCCGCAATCAAGTTACTCCAGGGTCTCGGAGGGGCACTACCTGGAAGGGAGTGAGCTAGGACAGAAGAAGGAGGCCAAGCAGTTTTGTCAAAGCCTCCGTTTATTAGGGACGGGTTACAGTTTATATATGGTAAGGAATGGGGGACAGGGTACTGGATTCTTGCCGCGTGTTTCCGGTCACGTAGGCCAGGCTATACTCGGACAGACGGGCCAGAAGTCACAAGTGGCCACACCTGGTTCCCTGGATAGCTGGAATGTGAGGCGGGTTCCGCTAAGATTAGCAGTTAATTGGGTGAGGGGCAGGTTTTGTCAATAGAACATAACTATGGGTGTGAGGTTCTCTGCAGACTCCCTAGAGTGATGGTTTCTGTAATGATTGTTAGGGGGGAAATGGCTCCTGACACTTGAGGTCCTGCTCCTGGAGCAAGAAGTCTCTGTGACACATGGTTCTTCACAGGCCAAACTGTAGCTTTAGTATAAATCCCAGCCACTAGCCCAAGCCTCACATGGCTATGCTGTGTCTGTCTGTTCTTCCATGAAGACAAGGAAAAAGGAAAAGAAAGAAATGGGGAAAGGACAGAAGAACAGAGGGAGAGAGAGAGAGAGAGAGAGAGAGAGAGAGAGAGAGAGAGAGAGAGAGAGAGAGAGAGAGAGAGGCAGGCACCAGGCAAATGAATTTTCAACTCCATTGGGGGGCAAATGACTCCACAGAAGACCCAGAAAGTAGAGGCATCTTGAGTACTTTATGTAAACAGCAATGACGACTTTAAACATGAAACAAAAGCTGAGTATTTCACTGTTTATTATGATGGTAATAGAAAAGAAAGATATTTTGAAGTTTGTCCCACACACTGAAAAAAAAAAAAAAAAAAAAAAAGGATGCCCTAGCAGGAGGAATTTTGTTTTCCACACGCAGGGCCCACGTCTCCACTGCTGCCCGGTTGGGTTGACTTCATGTCTAAGAACGAGTCCTATGTCTGCTGAGAGTACAGGAGTCACAGAGACCCGGGACTAGGACACCAAGAGCATCCTGCACATCGTACATCCGAATATGGATGTACTCTATAACTCTCCTACCTGATAAACGAGCCTCGTAACAACCTGCGAGGCTTGATTTCAACCAGCAGTCTGTGGCCTGTGCAGAGGAAGCAGGGAGAGATGACCTCACCCTCCTCTCTTTTCTTCCTGCCCTTGCTTTGTTCTGCCTGTGGCTATCTCTGGCTTATTTAAGCCACTTCTCAGGAATATGAGGTCACTTAACAGTGTCACAAGGACCCTTAAAAATTAAAATTTCTCCAGAAAATATGTTAATAATACGAATAGCTTGAAGCCCTGTTTCCATGAGGCTATCCCCCTCAGGAAAATTCCTCACAGTTCTGACAGCTTGTCTCACAGCTAAATCCACTTACGTGCACTTTCTGGCTTTTGTTCCGCTTTGCCCCCTATAAATTGTCGACGACAACAGGAAAGGTGGAGAAAAGTAAGAATTTCTCTCTCTCTCTTTTTTTTTTCTGGCCCAAACTGTAAATAACCCCATTTCTCTTTCTCAATTCCCAAATTATGATGTTCTGGCAAGATAAGCCAGCAAAGGACTCAGCAGGGCCATAGTCCCTCATACTCTTGGAGAAACTTGTGCTGACATGAGCCCTTCCCGAAGAAACATCAGGGGGCAGGCCGAAGGTATCCAGAAAATTTCCCAGGCCCTAGTGCCCTGGGCTGGGATGGGGTTAAAATAGAGTGCAATTTGGGGTGGGGGCTTGGACAGAACTCTGCAAAGGAAACAGCCAGGGTAGAATCTCAGCCTCGGGGGTTCTTTGGTTCTTCTCTTTGTATCCCACATAGCAGCTCATAATGTCGGCCTCATCGCGGAGTTGAAATTCTATAACTACCTCTCCCAAATCCCCAAAGCCAAGGCATCTTAAGAACACGATCATGGGAAAATTAGGCCCTGTTCGGATGGTAATAAATGACGTCTCAGGACCTGTGTGTGAAATAGAAGGGAAAGTGTGTGTGTGTGTGTGTGTGTGTACTACCACTTAAATTCATCCCTGGGCAATATTTCTATTTTAGTTAACTTAATTAGCATCAAGACTTCATTAATTTCCATGAATCTACAGAAATGCTTGTCATTCTTTTTGTTTATTACTTATTTCCTGCACACTGAGATTCTGGAAAACAGGTTCTGCTGTGCAGACTGCCCCTGGACAGACTATATATGTCCCACCGCCCCATCTTCTCATGTTTTGTAAATGACTGCAAGAATTTATGCAAAGTGACCCCTGAGCATTGTGGGCCCGGCGACTGGCCTGGCCGATGATGTGTTAGGTGCTGTAAGATTTGGCAGGAGGAGAGGAATGTTCTCCTCTGTTGTGTGAAACCCAGGAAATGACTCTCCTTTCAGGACCAGACCGCAAACGCAGCTCCTCTGGGCCTGAACACTGAAGAGGGAGAGTTCTACTTGACACTCTCTGTCACTCATCTCCGCATGCCTGGGGCCAGAAGCCCATGCCTGGGGCTAATAACATGTATGCATACACATTAATAAATTATGTTCTGTTTGCTAGCTAGACTGCTGGATGTCCCACGGCAGCCAGGAAAACACCGACTTTATTCTTATAAAGGCAACTTGGGAAACTGACCGCACAGACTTTTCCTATAAATGGATCCTGACGTTCCCCTGGGGACGCTGACCATGAGTCACCAGCCAGGAACTGCTTTTCTCTCTGCGAAGAATAGTGTCCTGTTAAGAACGGTGCCCGATGTCAACGATGAGGGAGAGATGTGCCTAGCCATCCATCTGTATCTTAGAGCCTACAGATGTGTGGATGCTGAGACCTCACGGACTATCAGCTTTGTGTAGAGAAATTGTCTGCCTCTGTATGGACTTGAATGAGAGTCTCCAAAGGGGCTCTTTTACAGGGAGGGAAGGGTTAACAAGGAAAAACACTTTATCCTTGAGCTATATTGTGGTGTGAGGAACAGTTTTTCATGGTCCTCTACTGACCAGTCCTGAGATTCATGTTCTCACTGGTCACAAAGTGTAGGTGATCAGAACCTCAGCATTCAACAAACAGGACAAGCTCAAGCAAGCCCAAGCAATCAATCAAACAGAAACCCAGGAAATATCACAGGTGACTGCACCGATTAGGGATATCGCTAATCAATGTTGTGTTAGCTACTCTTCTTCAACGAGAAAACCAAAAGAAGCAGCTTGAGCCAGGAAGGATATGTTTTTCCCCCCTACCCTCCAGAAGGATATGTTTTAGCTCGTGGTTTCAAGGCTTTCAGAATATCATGGTGTGGAAAGCATGGCTTGGGGGGCTTGACCCCTGTTGGGGGTTCTCACATCATGGAAGACCATGAAGCAGATGGAGTCCCCAAAAGTCTGTCCTTAGCGGTCTATATCTGCCACATTCTGAAACTGCGCCACCAGCCGGGAAACAAGAGTTCCAGCGTAGGTGCATGTGGGGGACATCTTGGACCCAAACCATGATGACCTCCAGGTAACACATGACAAGCTTGAAATGCAAAATTGCACCTTTCTGTGTTCACCTGCTTATTTCATCTGGAAGCAAATGGATCAGAGCTGAGTTGAAGTGCAGTCTGCATTTCTGGTTGCTGGTTCTTTCTAGGCGTCTCTGAAAACCCTCTCTCCAGGATCATGGCCCCTGGACACTGTCTAAGGAGCGGACATATGAGAGGAGGTGACGTGGGCATTCTGTTTGTCCCTGTCTACAGCAGTGTTGTTTCTAAGGGAACCATAGAAAATAATGAAGGGGCAGGTAGAGGGGCCGCTTTCTTGTGATGAGCAGGAGTGGGAGTAGCTGGGCTGGGCAGTTCCCTCTCACAACCTCATCTAGCGGTTAAAATCTGAGGACAGTGAAGGCCACTCAGTCACTCTAAGTGCCTCCCAGGCCTAGGATTCTTCATTCTAGGGTCCACACTCAGAATCTGTGGCCTTATCTAGAGCTTGTTTCTCAATCAATTCACTTCTATCCCTTGCCACATAATCTGCTGAATCCTTTGGAACTCCATCTGCCTCAGGAGTCATGGCCTCTAGACTCAATTTTCTTTTTATTTTCTATATATATATTTAGTATCAAAACATTTCATAGATGGAAGCATATTAGTCTTATCAGTGAAGCTTTGGAACCATGTGAGTGTCTGTGTGTGGTGACTTCAGGGAGGGCAGTTTGAGATAGAAGCTTGTGCCGACAAAGGCTGGAGGGGCTGATGGGGATGACGCTCGTGTAAAAAGTCACCTTACCAAGCCGCTCCGCATCACGGTGAATGATCAAAATTTTGGTTTTCCGTCTATAAACTATAAAAATCCCCCTGTGTGGGATGAAGTAAGGGGACATCTGCAAACCACCCAGCCAGTGTGGCTCTTGGTGTGTGAATGAGCCCATCCACCCTTAGCACCCTTTGTCCACTGTGACCAGTAGTGAGGAAACCATCCTCCTCTGCACCCTCCTCCAGAGGAAGCCACTCAGGCCAGGAGAAGAAGGAGGTACAACTCAGACAGCCTGGCTTCAAAACCCTGGACCTTTCTTGTGCTCCAGTAGGTGGGTGATCTTAAGCAAGTTAACTCCCAGAGCATCTGTTTGGATCAAAGTAAAATGGAGGAAAATTAACACATTATAGAGTGATTTATAGGAGCAAGTGAGACACTCTATGTGAAAAGGACCATTTAAATGATGAGGCCGTCTGCAAACTTAGGAATTTGCTTTAACTCCTCTGTGTAGAAATAGCCATGAAAGCACTAGTGTATACCGGGTGCTATGCCAGCCCTGGCATCCTCTGGTGGTTCTGACCAATGTTAAGCATCGTGGTATCAGAGCAGGATAGCTCTCCTATCTCAGGGTGCTTTAGAGGAGAGAGGGAGCAGGAACTGGGGGTAAGGGATTGATTCTGAGAAAGAGGGCTTTTTGGTCTCTGCCTTCCCAGTGCAGGTATTGCAAGCATGTACTGTTATACCTGGCTTTTCCTATAGAAGCTGGGGATTGAACTCAGGTCCTCATGCTTATTCAACAAGTGCTTTACCTGCTGAGCAATCTCTTCAGTTCCTATTAAATCCCTACTACTGCCCAGCATGAAGTCAGGGACGAATTGTGAATAGGTCAACATGCCCTATGGTCTTTAAAGAGTTTAGAGTAAACTAGAAGAGAAAAACTAGCAATAATAATAATCAATAAGTTATAACAACAATAATAAGTTATTTATAGTAATAGCATACTGTTAGTATTATCCCAAGGACAGAAGCAAAGCCACACACAGGCATCAGACATCTCCCAGTCCTCTGCCAAGCCTCTGACCTTGTTCTTTAGTTTGTGATCCCTGTGGTAACAGCCTATGGTCTGATCTAATGAACAGAGATCTACCAGTGTATAATTGAGGAAAGGGCCAGCTTCCTGGTCTCTGTCCTGGGGCATCACATGAAGACTATAGTGTTTAATAACTGGTAACCCTGCTTCTTTTCCTAGAGCCCTATTCATTGTCCCTCTGTTCCCCACAGCACATGTATTTTTAAGGCTCCAGCCTGGATGCTACACCCATGAGAGGACTTCACTGTACCATCTTCTCCCAAGGCAGAATCCATAACCCTCTCCATCAACTCCTTCCCCTCACAGCTGCTGATTTCTATCTGAGAAATGGAAAAAGAGAGGGATCTTATTTCATTCTCATTATTTGGTCTCTGAGACCAAGCTCCATGTAAGTTTTTTTTGTTGTTTCTGTTTATTTATTTCCCATCACATTGCCTATAAATTCCTTTCAGCACTGAAACCACTGTGGTTTGCTAATTACAAGCATCCTATACTTCAGTATGCTACTTGGCTATAAAGAATGACAGCTGATTTGCTATCCAGAGAGTGACCTTTGGCTCCCATGCTGGGCACATTTACTCATGAGTCAACTCATGTGCAAAACTTTCTCTTGGCCCTGCTTGTGAGAATACAGATTCTGAGAACTGTGTGCACAGATGAGATTGCACGGAAGTTGCCCCGCAATGGCTGTAGATTCCTGCTGGTTGCTTTTTATCAGTGTAACTGTGATGGTCAATTTTGCATCCATTTGATTGGATCACAAGGTGCCCAGATGCTTGGTAAACATTTCAGGGGGTCTGTGAATATATTTTTGGGTGAGAATAACATTTGAATGGGTAGACTGGGTGAAGGAGATTTCCCTTTTGCTACGGATATGTACCAGTCACTCTGTTGAGGACTTAAACAAAAGGAAGAGGGGAGGGAAGAGAGAATTCACACATCCTATGTGATCTCTTGTGCTGGAGTATTGGTATTTGCCAGCTTAGATCATCTGCCCTCCAGTTTCAAGCATTTTTAAAATACAAATTAGGACTGTGCTCCTGGCTTTTCTGAGTCCCTAGGATGGATGATAATCTTCATGGTGGTGTGAACCAACATCAACCCACCCCCCCCACCTCTTATACAAACGTATTAAAAACAGACAGATGCTTTTGCATATATATGTATGTGCAAGGAAACCCTAAGCACGTTAATCCTGCTCAGATTATCCAGAAATCTCTCTGGCTGTGTGGGCCATCACACAGTGCGGAGCATACACAGTGTATATCAAGCAGACGCAATGCACTTTCTACCTCCACGTCTCTCTTCTTTGCTGCTGCGTGCAAAAGCCGGAGTAGATGGTACTGTTCTGTCTGCTCCAATTGAGACATCAAGGCCAGGAGTTCTGCCAGGTGTCTGTTGATGGGTTGAGGTTGCATTTCATACACAGCAGGTAACACCCTCAACAGCATGGCATTTCCTACGGAGGGAACAAGAAAGGCAACAGCGACCTTATCAACCTCAGAGTCATAGAAATAACAACATTGTCAATGTAATAATCTGGGCACTTAAGCCATAGGGTCAACAGCCAAACGTTCTATTCAAATGAACAGATTGGCTTATCCTGTGAAAAATTAGTCACTAAAGCACAATTCCGATGGGTTTCACAAGGGAGTATTTTACGGTATGCCCGGCATGACTAGCTAATGAAATCTATTCCCTGCGTAATGCTCTGTGGGGAAGGAATACAAGCACACTTGACAGCAACCAGACCACACCCCAAGGAGACAGTTCTGATAAAAAATTCCCGAGGAGAAGTAACACGTGGATGCTATTGAAATGAAAAGTGAGCCGTGTTAGGAGCACGAACCTAAGTGAGGCTGAACCCAAAAAAAATGCAGAAAGGAATGCGTTCGCATTCCTGAGGGCTGGGAGGCCTGGTTCAGAACAATGGACATATGGAAACGATGCCTGATTTTTTTTTTTTTTTACGAAGAGTTTAAAAGGTAGCAATGCAAATTTAAACCCTCAATTTCTGCACTATTTCAAGGGGAATTTGCACTCAGCTTGTCTGTCACATGTGATTTGCCCCAAAGGCGTGTGTGACAACCGGATTCAAAATGGCAAAACCCGCAGAAAAAAAATATTTCATGAGCTGTAGGGGCTTCACTGCAATGACACGTGGGAAACACCTGCTTATCACTTTCTGTTACGGAGTCCTCTCTCCAAATGCTGTCAAGCACTTATTTAAGTGTCTCGGAGGATTTGGTTTCTAGAAGAATATTTTCTTGGTCCTATTTATAATTTGTGTTGCGGCAGTAGAGCTGGGGTTGAACCTTCCGCATGCCAGGCAGAACGGCCACACTCACCCCAACCCAGTTCGTGGTTTACTTATGTTAGCTTTATTCCCAGAAAATATACACAGAAAAAAATCAAACAAGCAGAAACTACATATATACAAATCTTCAGTACATGGTGAGGATAAGCTAACACAAAAAGACATTTAATTATGAACGTTAAGGAAAGAGACCTTGGGTTTCTACAATATCAGTATTTATGTTCAGTCAAAATGGACAAAAATGTACTTGCATAATAAAATTGAGAATTGATTTTTTCATAGAAGTAGTTTCAAACATATCTTAGCAACTTGTCTGCAGAACAAAAGATTCTGGAAATGCTTTTAATTTTTTAAAGAATTTGTAAGGGCCAGGCTTGATGGTGCATGTCTTCAGTACTTGGGAGACTGAGACAGGGGGATGACCACAAGTGTGAGCCCATTCTGGCCTATATAATGAGTCCGAGACAAGCTTGGACCTCATCTCAAATTGAAACTAAAAACTAAAACATAAAGAAGTTTCTCCTGGGATAGAGAGATGGCTCAGTATTTAAGAGTACTGGCTGCCCTTCCAGAGGACTGGGGTTTGAATTCCAGCACCCACATGGTAGCTCACAACCATCCATAACCCCAGTCACAGAAGACCCGACACCCTCTTCTGCCTTCCACGGGCATTTGGCATGCAATTGCAGACAGAACATCTATACACATTAAATAATAAAATAATGTTTAAAAAATAAATTGTCCCCATCACTATTTTGACACCAAACAATTTATTTTTTATTTCTGTTTATTAATATTTATATAGCTTCTCCTTAAATGCAGGAAATTCTAACTCAGTACGTAATTGATGCACAACCCCTTAGGTCATAGAACTTAGCTGTGGATGGATGCACACTGGTCAGCATCACTGGTGGGAAAAGTTAGAATCTGTGACAGAAACTTTGCATGACTTTTTAGCACTGTCTCCAACAAAGGTTCTGGGTTCTTTGGAGGGGAAATCCCTAGATTAGTCATTTTCACTGACTTCAGTTTCAATAAAATAAACACAAAAGTAAGTGCAAAATAATTTATTTTCCTTTTAGTTAGAAACTGATAAAGAAATCTGGATGAAGAAATCCTGTAAAAATTTTTACTCAGAGGTTTATATATTCTTTTTAATACTAAGTATTTCAAGCCCTCGGGTAGGCATAAAGAATGAAAGGAGGAATGGTGTGCCCATCACCCGGCTTCACCAAACTTTACCTGTGCCACAGTGCTTTCTGACCACTTGCTTTTCCTCCTCGGAGGCAACCATCACACTGAAGTTAGTCTTTTTATTGTTGGGAATGTTTTTATAGCTCATTTACATGTGTGCATCCACCAACATCTTACAGCTGTCTGCCTGCTTTATAATTTTACATGAATGGGTTCCTTATCTTTATCTACAGACCCAGGGCAAGCCGTTTCGTTCCGTTCAACATTATGCTGGGTTTCATTCAAACTGACCTCATATCTTGATTCTTCCTACTGGCCTTTCTCCCCAGGGGCACTGATTTAACTTCTCTGTGGCTGAAAGACATCATTTTCTCCAGAAATCATCAGGAAAAGGCCTGAAATTACTCAGATTTGCTAGCTTCCATTTTCCAAAGCCTGGCATGTTTATCACGGTGCTGAAGGTGTAGGCAAGGTTGCAATGGTCCTTGAAGGATCTCCAGAACCATTTCTTTGGTTATCCTATCGTCTAGAGCAGTGGTTTCCTGCCATTCTAATGCTGAGACCCTTTAATACAGTTCCTCATGTTGCTAGGTGGGGAAAACTATACTGAAGGCTGGGAGAAAGAAGGCAGAGTCAGGAAGAAGCCATGTAGCCCTAACAGAGACAAATGCCGAAACTATACCTGGTAAGCCACAGCCTCGTGGCAATACACAGATTAATGGAAATGGGTTAATTTAAAATATGAGTTAGTCAAAACTACGCTTAAACTATTGGCCAAACAGTACTGCAAATAATAAGGTTTCTGTATGATTATTTTGGGGCTGAGGAGCTGAAAACAAACAAGCAAACCTCCTACAACACACAACCATAAAATTAACTTCCATTGTTACTTCACAATTGTAATTTTGCTACTGTTACGAATCATAATGTAAATATCTGTGTTTTCTTATTGTCTTAGGTAACTTCTGTGAAAGAATTTGTTTGACCCTCCAAAGGGGTCATGGCCCATAGGTTAGACCCATTCTAGAATCTGGTGTGCACCTACCGGCTTGTGGACCCTCCCATCCTGTTCAAAGCTAGAAACATGGTGACTCTATGATCTGTTTCTTTCTCTCATCATCCTTCTTCATGTGATTCTCTCATCTGCCTCCCTCTTTCGCTATCTTTTAAAATATTTTCTTTATGATAAGTGTGCAGGTGATGACAAGGATGTGTGTGCCTTGACATGTCCTTGGATGTTGGAGCACAACTTTTAAGAGTTGATTCTATCCCTCCACCTCGTGTTCCAAGGATGGAACCCAAGCCATCAGGCTGGCATAGTAGGAGATTTTACCCAATGGCCCATCTCACTTGCACATCCTCTCTGACTTTTAGGAACCCTTTTATTGCAGAGTCAAGCTAAATAACCTAGTGTTGTTTCCTTATTTTTTTCTGTAGTGACTTTCATTCCATCTGGAATTCAGTGATACAGCGCATGTTTACAGGTTACAAGGATTGGCACACGGACATCTTCTGGGGTCCTGGTACCAGGCTTATAAGATCTTACACTCCCATGAGCCTCGTGAAGGCATCTGCTGCCCACATCCTTGCTGTGCTGGGCCTTCCCGGCTCTCCTTGCCTTTTGCTGATTTGATGGAGTGTGAGATTGCTTCTCAGGTTTTGTTTTCAGTCTCATTTTCTTGATTGCTTGTGGCACACGTACACACAGTTTTGCAGCAGGTCATCTCTTGTCCTGCGATTAGGCCATTCTCAGTTTTTATTTTTACTAAGATGTTTATCTGTCTTTTAAATTCATTTTTCTTTACCTTTGCCTAAATTGCCATTTTACCCATTCCTGTCTGATCTTTATAAAGAGCTTTAATTCACCTTTTAAGAATTACGGGAATCACTAATAGTTCTTTAAAATAACTTTTCCCTCAACAGCCCTTTGAGTGTGTGCATTCCTGTGAATGTATATTTCTCTAGGTACATGTTTGTGTGTAGACGCCTTGGAAGTCAACCTCTTGTATAATTACAATCATCCAATACATTTTTTTAAAGATTCACCTATTTTTATGTCTTTATGTGAGTCAGCATAAGTTTATGTGTATCACATGTACTTGAGGAGGTCAAAGGACATAGGGCCCCCTGGAACTGGAACAGATGGCTGTGGGCTGACTGATGTGGGGGTCCTGGGAACTGAAGCCTGGTCCTTTGAGGTAAGGTAAGCATTTTTATCCAGCTGTTCCACCGATTTTGGAGCCAGGGTCTCTCATCGGCCTTAACTTGCCCAGTAGGCTTTAGCTGTCTGGCCAGGAAGTCCCAGGCACCCTCTCCCTGGCACTGGCTTAGAACTCTGCCTGCATCACCACACCAGGCTTTTCTGGAAAACAAATTTAGGCCCACATCCTTAAGAGAGAAGCTCTCTACTGACTGAACTTTCTACACTGCCCTTTAAACAATATTTTATTGTCTCATGTTGCTATTTCTTTCTCGTAGGCCTTAAGGAGGGTTCCAAACATAACTTGTTTTTAGCTGCTACTTCAAATAAGTGAAGCCCTCGAGCAGGGACTTGATGCCTTTTGACTTTTTTGTTGATTCTCATTGATGATGTACTATTCCCTCGGATGTCTAGATATGTTTAGCTGTGAATTCATTTTTACAGTGGTGGTTGGTATATGCATGTGCATTCTGGATGTAGGAGGAATTTGTTTGCAAGCCTCTTCTTACAAACTCTTAGGGGTCAAGTGGTACTCAGTCAGGGAAAGCCGTGCAAGGGGCAGAAAGAGGAGTTTACCCATGGAAATCCAAAAGGTGGTTGTCTGAGAGGCCTGACTTGAGGGTCCTCTCACCCTCATGGTTGGTTGGTTTGGATGGCTGTGACTGATAACCACCCCCACCATGGGACTGCGGAGTGATATCAGCTCAGGAGCTGACCCTCTGGGCTTTATTCCTTCTAGATCTTTGGC